CATTGTGGTAGATCTGCTCATTTTTTGACCATCTACCACATCTACCACTCAAGGTCAGAAATCTACCACGTATTCGCGTTTTTGAGTAGTTTTATTTTTGCTCGACATAATTTTCTTAATTTTAAGAGCAAGAATTGTCCAACACTAAATACTATCTGGTAACAATAATGATATAATACAAGATTCCGCATTCCCGGCGGCGATGAAATTGCTCAAGTAAAAGTAAACAAAGCAAACAATTTTCTCAATAATCAATTTTTCGACAGGAAACGTGGTTTTATTGTGTTAAATTGGAAAATATATGATTTATAAAAAGATTTTATACCGAAAATGTAAAAAAACGGCGATTTTTGTGAAAGTATTACACCCTTATTCTAGAACCCGAATCTCGAAATTCGTAAATCGTCATGCTGCAACCCTTGCGGAAAAATGTGCAGCATTGTAAGGTATCAGTTGATTTTCGAACTCAGCTGTATGAAGGAAAACAAAGTGGAAAGGAATTAAAAAACACTCATCATGTGCTTGTTTATAGTAAAATTTAATGGATTGGTTGAATTGTTGAACCACAAGCCAGAACTCCTATGCCTGCAGAACTGGTTCACAATCCAGTTAATACAATAACAGCTTCTTCCAAGTCATTGAAAACATGCATTTTGTTAGGTCCACCACCTGTTGCGCTTGCTTTTGCCTTCGGCCGCGCTTAGGGATTTTAACTCTTACTAAAAAGAATTCTCCTTTCTGTGTTGCCGGAGAAGAGGGGCTTCCGCATGTCAAAGGTATACAATATTTCTTATGCATATCACAGTATTTTTGCGCAGAACCCACATCGAAATTGGCAAAAAAGTGCGTAGTCCAAACCGAATTTATAATAATTTGAAACAAATATTTTAAATAAAGGTTCAATCCTTTGATAACACGTGCATGTTATGCGTTTGGACACAACAACTGGAAATCATTGTACAAATAATTTAACCGGACCCAAGTTTCTCGATAAGGGGTAACAAAGATTCTTTTTTCCTCGTTTATATAAAGCAGTGGGTAAAAATATACGTATATGCGAAAGGCAAATTTATCTGTTTAAATAAACACCACTAATATTTCCTGCAAACACACATCGATTTACATCTTTTAATTCGCCTCCGATGCAGAATTGTTTTCGTACAAAATTACGCAAAAAAGCTTACTCGTTCGTTTTTAGGCTTACCATTCCTACGATTCGTAGCAAAATCCGAATACGAAAGTGTTGCAGAATAGGGGTGTTAACAAATTTAAGTACATCTAAAGTTTCTGAGGCGTTGTTTACTTTTACTTGAGAATTGTCAAAATCGGTAAGTCCCCAGGAGCGGTTTCTGGAACGTGCCACGTTTGTTCGCTACATCATGATGTGATAGAAAGAAAATCTGGCAGCACTCCGCAAGGTTGCAGAAACCTCTTAAAATATGTTCGCAAAATATCTTGATATGGAGAAAACTGCTTCAAGGAAAAAAGTGCCAAAACCCAACGCAATTTTTAGCAACTTCAATCTTGCACATTATTTTACTAAAATAAAATTTGTTTAGAGTCTTGCAGATTTTTTTTTAATTTTTGTACAAAGTTTGATCTAAAACCTGAGATCTACCGCATTTTTTTTTAATCTACCACATTTTTTTAAATCTACCACATTTTTTTCCAGATTCTACCACACAGAATTTTTTAAGTCCGATGGAACACAGGCCAAAAATATGGAAAAAATGGTCCAGGGGAGACTCGCCTATCAAAACCCGAATGTAGGAGCCAACAGAGCTTTTAATACTGATTCAAATGAAAGATGTATATATATCGGTTCGAGGCCATAATACAGAGAAACTCTTACTTGTTTGAAGCATTTTTGTCCCAGCTGAATCGGATGATATCATATTTGTAGGCCTGGGGGCAGATTCTGTAGCCAGTTAGCGACAATTTTTTCGAATCGGTATCGGTTTTGTTGACGTATGATTTGAAATATTTTTACCTTAACAAGTGCGATATTGATCCGAAACTAGTGGTAACAGAGTCTCCCCCCTGAAAGGCTTCTTCATCCGTCAAGCATTTTTCTTGAACCTTGGATCGACTAAGGTTAAAACTGATAATATAAGATTTCTCTGTTGCGATAAGTTCAAGTGTTTTAGCCGATATCATATAAATTAGTAATGAAAGTTTTTTCTAAACTTGAAATGCGAAGGTTTAATGCAAAGAATCGGTATCGGCTACCGAAAAGGAAGTATTGGGTACCGAAATCTTTTTTAAGTATTGGGTACCGACAATTCAGCACATCACTTGCGGCGAGTCGATACGAATTCGTTTGGCAAATTGGGTGATGACGCTAACCAATTTTACAATTTCACTAGTTTTAAGGCAATCAAACCATACTTATATATGTATGTGCATTTATTAGCTGGAATTCACAAATTTATTAAAGCAACTTACTTGGGCATGATTAGTGTTGCCGCGCAGCATTTTTAATGGTAGCCAAATTCCTTTAAAAAAAGGGCTAAAAAAAGTCGTTGTGGCTAAAAATGGTAGCTAAAATTTACTTACATAATCATATATAAGTAAAAACGCAAACATTTTCAATAAGTAATGGTGTAGAAAAACAATGAACTCTGGAAAAAAAAGCTAATATTTTATCCAACCTAAAACCTTTTTGTATAATAGGGGAAATATACGACACCAGCTTGCTGGCTCGATCAAGTGATTGTACCATCAGGCTCGAAGCATATAACTTACCAGCATGCTGGTACAATATCTATTTCTTTACAAATGAGGTCCAGGAAAGATCGAAATGATAAGAGCCGAAATTTCGTAATTTTTCTACCATTTTGTTAAACATTGCTTTTTTTTTTAATTCACAACTGCAATATCTTGAACCTAATATTCCACAAACACGGCTTTGACTCATATAGTGCAAGAAACTTCCGCCAAAAAAATTTCAAATAGTTTTTGAAGTCGCACCAGCAGCTGGTACAATCACAAGAACATACACGGTCAATCGACTTGATAGGCCATTTAACAAGTGAAGCATATTAAGGGCCAGTTTTTCAGTGTACAGCCGTGGTTTAAACTAAGTTTAAACGCCCGATCTGGCTGGTGTTAACTAAGATCAGCCAATCAAATGTCAGTCATCTGTTCAATTTAAACTCGGTTTACTTAATCTGAATTTAAACTTGACTGAAAAACTGACCCTAAGGGCTGTAAACTTATCTATTTTAAACTATAGTTAAATCATTAAGGGCCGGTTGCTCAAAGCCTGGTTGGCACTAATCTCCGGTTAACATCGTTATCGACGTCTTCGACTGCATGCATATAACACGGTGTCGGTAACGTCGATAACGATGTTTAACCGTAGATTAGTGTCAATCAGGCTTTGCGCAACCGGCCCTAATAGATAAGTTTAAAAAAAACGGCCCTAACACTTTTACAGTATGTATGTATAAAAACGTAAGGAACATACAATACACACATGTATATATATCAGACTTTCTTAGTTTAAAAATTCATCTCTTAAATAAATGCAAAAAAAATTAGATCAAATTAAACGTATGTATACAACTTTTTCATGCCCAGTATGAATAAATTCTCCAAAGGGCTAAAAAAAAAGGCTAGGGGCAATTTTAAATTTATGGGGCCAAAAAAATAATGTGGTAGCTAAATCTAGCCACCAAAGGGCCAAAACGGCAACACTGGGCATGATTGCGTGACAGTACTTATTTATCAAACGCTCGCTCAAAATTTTAAAGCGTTCACAAAATGAAATGGTGAAAAATTAGTACAGAAACGTCTTTGATATTTTTCGAAACATCGATGTTTTGACTAAACACCCTGCAAAAAATGGCTGACCATATCGAAAAGAAACTATCGATTGTACGCTCGCATACATATGTACATACATACATACATCAAAGAAAATTTTACTTCATTGTTAAAGCCCTGTATGCAGCTTTCAAGAAAACGGTCAAGAAAAAATTGCCAGGTTTGCAACAGAAATATATGCCCGTTCCATTATTTCTTGAGGAAAGAGTGAGGCAACAGGCTGTGAAGAATCAAAAATGTCAAAATTCCTTGGACACACACACGAAATAATGGCAATTTTTTCTTGACCGTTTTCTTGAGAGCTGCATACAGGGCATTAGTATCCAGCTCTTAAGAAAATGCACAAGAAAATGTTCGTGTTCTTTCTTCTGCTTGAAATAGTAGTAGGCCAGTAATTTTGACGTTTGATAATGCATAATAGTAAACAATGGCAGAAGAAGAGCGGTAAAAAGTAAACAAAAGAAACAATCTTTTGCCTATGACCAATTTGTAAGTTTATAACAATATTTTTCCTTAAATTTATTAAAGACATTTTAATTTATTTTGATTCAATTTCAGGAGATAGTTTTCACTGATATCGGAACATCACTATATCTACCGAAGAAATCTATTTGTCGGACAGTCGACTTTTAAAAGCATTAAAATTGTACCATTTTTTATATCGAAATATTTTCGACATCCCTATTTTCAAATTGTTCTGTCTTACCAATATATTGTTACGATTATCCTTGAAACCTCGTCCGGATTTCCCAAACCTCTCGGTTCGTATCGCTGGATTGTTAAATAAATGCAATCGATGACCAAATTGTAGTACAATTAACTTTATTGTACAACAAACAATTTACAATACTCGCTAATACAGTAAAAACACTTTACAATACTTGTTAAAGCAATAACAATGCTTTACTACTTGTTAACACAATTAAACTTATAGCTTGCTTATTCGCCACTCACTTCTCTGCTCACTTTACTTGTAGCTTGCTGTCTTGCAACTAACTCACCTCGCTGTGGCGGCGCCCTTATATACCTGCGCTGGCACTTATGGCAACTCTAAAACATTCTGAAGTTTATCGCTCATTCTCTTTCTCTCGCTGTTCGCAGTATTCATCCAACTTGACGTGTCTCTTTGTGGAACATTCTACGTCGTTCCTCGAGCATTCTGCCTATTTCTCGTTGTTCGCTTTGTGTTGCCGCAGTATTCGCCACAATATAATCACACATTCTACAAAACTATTTTTTACCGACTAAGACTTGAATTATCAATACGGCAGTGGTGAAAAGTTCAGATGGATTTATCAAATATATGCCGTGCCTGTTTGTCGCCGGAAGATCGGGTGCATCTGCTAGATTGGTATCAGCCTGTTGACTCTTTGGATATATCATACAAAGAGTGTTTTTGTAAATGTACACAAATTAATTTAAGTTTGAAAGATGATCCAAATGAACTCGATGATGCCCGGATGCAATATTTATGCCTTGATTGTGCACAAAAACTTAAAGACGTTTATGATTTTATTGAAAAGGCGAGAAGGGCTGATAATGAATTACGTTGCACACAAACGGAAAAAGTGAAGATAGAAAGTATCGCCAACACTTTTGAATGGGTTCCAGTACATGAAGGGCTAATGGAAGTAACTAAGATGCCAGATACTGTAGATATGGTATATCAAATACGATTTAGATATAATTAAACAATAATTATTTTCTATTTGTTTACAAAGATCACGTAGAGGATATAAAAGTATCACCAGAATGGAATGAACATTTTATGGATGATGATGAAACATCTGCATCAAATGATATCGAACACGAAATAAATATTGATAAAAAACTTAGTACTGACACTACAACAACAACAAAGTTTCTAGTTTAATCGGATAAGGATATGCAGAGCGGCAATAACTTAAATGAAGCTGGGCTGGTCTTATCGAAAAAAAGTAAAGAACTCAATCTTGCTCATACAAGACCTAAAAACGTAAAGAAAACAAACAAAGTAAAATCCGAGGTGAAAACAAAAAAGAAAGTCAAGGACATGTCTGAGCCGGTGAAGTGTGAAGAATGAGGGAAAATAATAAAAAAACATAAGCAACGTCATAAACCAAAAACTTTTCTTTGTCAGGCCTGCCGTAAGTATTTCCGTTCCTTTTAACTTGTGGACTAATTTCTATCTTTGTTGAATTTACCTTCGCCAGCAAAAACATTTAAGGGGTCATGTGCCCTAAAAAATCATGAGCTCTGTCACAATGAGAATCGGGAAAGATTTCCGTGCGACATCTGTAACCAAAGCTTTTTAACTCCGTATACATACAAAAAACACAGGCTAACGCACGAAACCAACCGCAAACCAATATATCAATGTGCTCAGTGTGAAAAATCATTTCTTCATAAAAATGGTCTAACAATCCACGAGCTCCATCATAAGGGAGCTACGATAGAATGCCAAGTTTGTCAAAAACGTTATGTGCGGCAAATAGACCTAGATGTTCATTTACGCACTCATTCTGGAGAATCGCCATTTGTGTGTCACCTTTGTGGAAAATCTTTCATCCACAAACGTATTTTAAATAGGCACATGCAGTACCATGGATATTTCAGTTACAAGTGCGTGATTTGTGGTTCTAAATTCTCCAAATATGATCAATACTATAATCATCGCATGCAACACACTGGATTACCTTATAAATGTGGCGTTTGTGAAAAGCAGTTTCCAGATGCTTACAAGATAGTAATAAAGTATGATTATGCCCTACATGTACATATATGTATATGTGTATGTATATAATTTTTCAGGATTAAGCGTCATATAAGAGGTGTGCACAATTCCCACGACAGCCGGTTCTACGTACCGGAATGACTCGGGATTCACCCGACCAAGGGCTGTTCTAACCCCGTTTAGGTCGGCGAAGTATCTCAGAAGTTGTCCGTCCATAGGGCAACATTCACTACGCATTCTCCTACTCAGGGCTGGCATCGAGTCAAACCCTGGGCCAGAAATATACACCTGTGTTTGCCGAAGACGATTACACCACAACTCCACCTCAGTCAAGTGTAATACCTGCGAGGGGTGGAGTCACCTCAGGGTCTGCTCGGGACTACGGACACACAGACAGTGGACCACGTCGTACGTGGCCCCCTGTTGCTCAAACAGAGCAGCCTCCACGGCAAACCTTAGTCCGCCCGTGCAGCCCCACACACTCACACAGCAACCACACACAGTCGCCACAACACAACAACATAATAACACCACAGACCGTACCACAGCCACCACAGACCGCATAACACACACAACCGCACCACCACCCACACGCCGCCGCCAACAACTCCTGGTTCCCCCTACAATCTGCACGGTATGTCAGACCAGAATATTCCGTAATGTGACATCAGTCAAGTGCAACACCTGCCTTGGCTGGTGCCACTTTAGGGCATGTTCAAGTCTGCGTACCACGCGAGATTGGACGGGGAACTTCGAGGGCCCGTGTTGCGTTGCTCGGTCGCAGACTTCAATTGCGACGCCCCCCACCACCACCACAGGGCGGCAATCACCTCAGCAGCACACACAGCCAACGGCGGCAAGAACATACACCTCACTTACACCCCACATCACGACACGTCTACCGAACCACATGAAGCTCCTTCAATTCAACTGTAACGGGCTACAGAGCAAGATTGAGGAGATAACCGTCTTCATGTGTCGGCATGGTATATTAATAGCTGCGGTCCAAGAGACGAAGTTGCACAGCAATTCAACTTTGTTGAATTGCGCCGGGTACAACGTGCACCGTCGAGATCGCGAGCGAGATAATGGTGGTGGCTTAGCGTTCATCACGCACCACACCGTGCAGTATCGTCTTATCGAAGCAGACATCGACCGCAGGGATATCACCCTAGAATGTCAGGGCATCGCTAGCCGGTCAGGCGATGTCGAGCTCGAAATATTTAACATATACATACCCCCTGTCACCTGCTGCCCGGCAGGATATCACCCTGATATAGGTGCGCTCCTCAGAGGTGAAAACCGTATGGTAGTAGGTGACTTTAATGCGCACCACGATCTTTGGCACTCAAGCCTGTCAAACGATCGTAGGGGAACAGACTTGGCTGAGCAGATAGACGATTCGACATTCTGCACAATGAACGACGACGCACCCACCAGGATTATGGGTAACTGCAGTAGCTCGCCAGACATCACAATAGTCAGCGCTGGTCTGATAAACAGCATAACGTGGCGACCTATGCTGACTCTAGCATCAGACCATCTACCCATAGTCATCTCGATTGATAAACCAACCGACTTTGCCTCCGCCAAACACCGGACCTATATCAACTTTTCTAAAGCTGATTGGAAAGGTTACGCGGAGTTTACCGAAAACACCTTCGCTGCGCTCCCCACACCAACCGACGTCCATCTCGGTGAACGTAAGTTCCGCAGGGCTATCACTGCTGCTGCAGCTCTCTTCATACCGGCAGGATGTATATCGGACCCACGTCCAAACTTCCCTGCCGAAGCGGCTGTTCTAGCTGATGAGCGTGATAGCCTTCGTCAGCCCGATCCCGGAGATCCCCGTATCAGGGATCTCAACGCGGAGATTCGGCAACTTGTAAACGTACATAAGCGGAAGAAGTGGGAGGAGCACCTGAAGACTTGTAATTTCACCTCTGGTGAGCAAGCTTTGGTCAACCGTGAGGTCATTGTCTAATCCGACGAAGCACGACGACAGAGTCGAAATTTCCTTCGGCGACCATGCTTCGTCGGACCCGGAGCGATGCGCGAGCTATTTTAGCCGGCAGTTCATACTGCATCCTCCGGTGGACAAAGCCAAGCGTCGAGTGACCAGAAGGCTGCACAAACTGCCAAGAACTTGTGCCCCCCTTGCTTTCACTTGCGGTGAAGTTCAGGTGGCCATCAGGAAGGCGAAAGCCTCCAAAGCCATGGGTCCCGACGGAATATGCATGCTGATGCTGAAAAATTTGGGTCCTGCGGGGGTAGCGTACCTAACGGAGGTCCTCAACCTGTCAATGGCCACTCTCATCATCCCAGATATCTGGAAGGTGGGGACAGTGGTCCCACTGCTCAAACCGGGGAAACCCGCCAACAAAGGAGATT